GAGAGTTTAAATTATGATAAATTTTGGATTCAAATTTATCTAATGTTGAAAATTTTAATGTATCTATTCACTTTTATTGAGGGGCACCTTTTGAGCCCCCTATGGAAGCAAATATTTAGGCAACGAATTATGAGGTGCCACGTGGACAATGGAAATATTCCTTAGGTCAATAATTGCGCTCCATTTGATTGGTCAATTGTTTAGACTTAAAATAGGAATAATACTATAAATTAGGGATTTGATCTTCATTAAATCTCTAATTGATACAATCTCTCCATTTAAGGGAGAGAATAATTCTCTTCCGTATGAAAATTATTCTCTGAAAAACCCTATAAGGCAAGATTACTATAAATACATGGCTACACCACATACATGAGGTAATTCCAAAAACCCTAGCAATTCCTCTCTTTCTCGCCGCCCACTCTCTCTCTCTCTCTCTCTCTCTCTCACAACTCCGGCTACACATACGGTTCCAGTCATCCGGTTCTCTCGTACCACAGATAAAACTCTGACATTCTTTGTTATTTTCGTATTTTCCTAAAGATCATCTAACTGACTTAGGGCATCGGATGACCTTTTACTCCAACCTTTTTTGCATGAATCTAGGAAGAAGAGAGAGAAGGAAGCTTGAAGGATGAAAAATCTCTTGCGAATATTCTCCCATGAGAATTATGCTCAAACATTTTGGTGCTTTCATTGAGAGCATCAAGTTATACTCAACTCGTTGCTCTCGAATAAAAGGAATCGGTTTCCTCTCATCCATCACTTTATTGAAGCCTTCCAAATAGCCATGGTTGGAAGCAAGCGCACGAAATGCAAAACTGCTCTGATGAATCCAAGCCACCACAACGACGCGGCTTCGAAGCAACCACCACTCTCTGCTACTCCACATGTAACATCCCACATCGACCAACGGAGAGGGGGTGATGTGCCTTATATGTACCTACCTGCCTCCATCTAGCACGAGGCCTTATGGGAGCTCACTGGCTTTGGAGTCATGGGAACTCCGAAGTTAAGCGAGTTGGGGCTAGAGCAATCCAAGGATGAGTAACCCACTAGGAAGTTTCCCGTGAGTTCCCATAAACAAAACCGTGAGGGTAGAGAGGAGGGCTCAAAGCGGACAATATCGTGCTACGGCGGAGCCGATCCCTGGATGTGACAATTTGGTATCAGAGTCACTCAGTCGTGTGGTGCGAGTGTGCTGACGAGGATGTCGGGCCCCTAAGGGGGTAGATTGTAACATCCCACATCGACCAACAGAGAAGGGGTGATGTGCCTTATATGTACATGCCTGCTTCTATCTAGCATGAGGCCTTTTGGGAGCTCACTGGCTTCAGAGTTATGGGAACTCCGAAGTTAAGCTAGTTAAGGCTAGAGCAATCCTAGGATGGGTGACCCACTGAGAAGTTGCTCGTGAGTTCCCAGAAACAAAACCGTAAGGGCAGAGAAGGGGACTCAAAGCAGACAATATCGTGCTACGACGGAGCTGATCCCGAGATATGACACCACATGCCAGCACCTCATACAGATTGACTTGGTCTGAGACTTTGGCCTTGGATCGTAAGGCAAAGAGAGAATGATGGACGAGTACACCGACATGTAGTTTGAGAGGTCTGAGGCAAGTCGAGCAGGCAAGGAGAAGGACAAGAGCGTGTTGCACAACACCCAAGCATATAACAAGTATCTGCAAGCCCCGGCCAAAGTAGATCAAGTCTCCGTTTGAGGCTAGTCCTAGGACCAATGTGCAATCTAATGTACATGCCCGTTTGGGCGTACAAAAAAGTGTTCACTAAAGGCTAAGCTCCCAAGGAGATCAACCTCGTGATCCTCCTCATGAGGTACATGAAGAAAGACCCTCACCAGCCTGCTCTAGAAGAGCCAAATTCACTACGACAAGCCATAGAGAATCCATTAAAGCTCAGTCCACCAATACGCCGCGCATGCAGGTCAATCAATGATGCCCATGTCATGGGAGACACCAACATGAGTCGCGAGCATTATGGGTAGAAGATGTCGAGAAACTCATGAATGACAGACTTCGATACTTGAAATTGGAGGGGACTTAGAGGATGCATTGCGCAATGAGGTAACCAAATAAACTCATCTCCTTTCACTACAGAACGTTATGCTTTCTTGAATGAAGATTAAATCATAATGAAGAAGGCTGCCAAGCAAGTCGATCAACTCTTCAAGCAAACAGGTAAGAGAAATGACAAATAAGAGGAATTCCATCCCGATACATCAGATTCTGGCCCAGGTGAAAGATAAACCCTTGTTGAGAAAGCCTCCGCCTTTGAAGGGGATCTTGATAAGAGGAATACCAACAAGTACTTTGTCTTTTATGAGACACACAAACATGAAATGGTCAACTGCCAAGCTTGGAAATGCACCTCGAAGAGCTGGTAAGAGAGGCCACTACATAGAATTTGTGGCACAGAAGGTCATTTAGCAGATCGAGGACTAGGATGTAGCTAAGGAACCTCTGTAGAAGGTCATAAGGATCAACATGATCCTGGCCGACTTTGAGGAATCTGGGCTGACCAACAAGAAAAAGAAAAGGAAGATTAAACAGGTCACTGTTATCTCCTAAGTCTTAACTAGCTACCTGGTAATAGAAGATGATCCTATGATCGGCTTTCAAAAGAAGGACTTAATCAGACTTGAACCATAGATCATCTATCACACGCCACATGTTAACCTAGCTAGCAAGCTAGTAGTGCAGAAGAGATGGAACTTCGCACCCGAGCAAGTTGCAATCATTGAAGCCAAGATTGATAAGCTCCTAGCTGCCAACTTCATTAAAGAAGTCTCCTATGCAGAGTGGTTGGCCAATATTGTTCTGGTAGTAAAGAAAGACCAAGGCAAGTGGAGAGTTTGCATCGACTACACCGAGTTCAACAAGTCATGCCTGAAGGTAAACTTTCCAATGCCAAGAATTATCCAGCTCGTATATTCAACTTTCGGTAACTAGTTGCTTAGCTTCATGAAGGCATACTCCGAA